GGCTTATAACTTACCCAGATTTGTGCAGATGGTCATGGAGAATGGAAAAAGGTACGGCTCTGACACATAATTCCCTCCCCTATTTCCAATTCCTTGCTCCAAAATCCAGGAGCGCAAGAATTTTTGAAAGAAAACCCCAGTCTCAGAAATGTCTGAACCATATTAGCCAAAATTAATTTTAAAAAAAATCATTAAGGCACCTACCCCTCAGAAAATTTCAGCCTTGAACTGTTAATACGGCATAGTTATACATTACAGAAAAACAGCATCTTCCATGAAGTGTCAGGCAATTGTAACAGGCAGAGCTATCAGTCCCATTTAATTACTTTTAGCTGTAATAAATGCTCCAAAAATTGCACACACTATAGAAAACTGTATTAGAACTATTGTAATTAGCTTCCTGGAACTGATAATACAATGTGTATTGGAAAACTAAATCCTCCTCCCAGAAATTAAACAGATTGCACTTTTAAGAATGGAATGTAGTTTTGTGAGGTGGTACAGCTCTACCTTAAAAATATATGAATTCTGTTTAAAAAAAAAATTAAATCATGTTAGAAACGCATGAAGTCAAATCTCTTTTATTTACATCAGAATATTTGTGAGAGTTCTAAGGAACTGAAAAATTCACTTTAATCCCAGCCTATCTTAAATCAAAATTTCAAAGTGACATTTATTATTTGAAGTTTGTGTGTGAAGTTTAAGAGTGTACCAAGATAGGATGACTTAGTTATTTGATACTGGTCATTTGAAAAAGTTTTGTTACAATTTAGTCTCTTCGTGCACGGAAGATGTTATATCCAAGCTCAATTATTCCCCCAGCGAGCAAGGCCCATAATGGGATAAAGACATACACTAGTTTCATTTCAGTAAACTGTTCCAGTTTAGCACAAAGGACAAGGCAGAAAGCTAATTTAAGCAGCATTGCGATGAGGTACCAGGCCTTTTTCTTTATGTTTTGAGAACCATTGCGAGGGTCATAACCAGACTTGCATCGTCCAGCCATTTTTACAATTAGCATAACGAGAAGGATAGTATCAAATATCCAGACTGGAATAAATATAAGAAACCAGTTCCACGGTGCTTTCTCATCCAGTTTTAACACCAACATGATCAGGAAGAGTAATGTGAAAAGCCATGTAAGCAGCACTCTCTGCGCCAGGGACATTCTCATTTAAACAGCTTTGATAGGGAGTTTCCCCCCACGTATCAGCAGCAATCTAAGACAAGAAAAAAAAGTAAAAAATGGCATATCAATACTTCTTGCAAGCCAATTATCCAAGCCCCCATGCTCTCACATTCCCAACAAAACACATTCTGGAGAGCAAATGCCACAATTTACAGTTAAACTATAGCAGTCTTAATGCTAACTTATCCTTAACTTTAGAATTCTCTGTGTAGCCTGTCTTTGTGAATCTCTCTAGACAGTGGTCTCTTCAAAGCAGAAACCCTATTTATTTGTTTGCACAAGGCTAAACACATTATCAATACTTTTTCCAGGACTATGACATACAAAAAGGTGTTGAGTTCCTTAGTTGTGGCCAAAGCAAAAATTGTATGCAAACTTCTCTAAAATGACAAAGAGTCCAGTTTGGCACTTTAAAGACTAACAGATGTATAGGGCATAAACTTTCATGAGTTACAGCTCATTTCATCAGATGCCTTACTTATGCCCTGATAAACGTGGTTAGTTTTTAAGGTGCCACTGGATTCGTTTTTGCTGAAACAGACTACCTCTCTGAAACATCCTGAAAATGAATGCTGCTTTTGAAGAGACGTTTTTATCATCAAAGGAGTAAAATGCAGAGTAAACACAAGATAGCAAAGACACTAACTTAACTGCAAACTGCTGCTCAGACTGAATAATTTAACGGAAGCCAATAAAGGTTAAGGACTTTTTTTTGTGATAATTTAATCCAACAGGCACCCAGAACATTGCAGTTAGTGTTGTCTCTAACATCAGTTGCATTACTGTAGTGTTTGAAGGGAAGTCAAAGACCAATGCCCACTGAACTGGATATGATATGAAAGCACAAATAGGTCCCAATTACCATATAAGTTTATTTTGCTCCTTATTCATAGCTCCAGTTAATTATTTTAACTTGCCATCACAAGAGCTGGAGTACTAAGGGAGCCTTGTATATGACCACCAACAATATTACAGACCCGATTTCAAAGCAAAAAAGAAAGTGTTTTCATGAATACCGAACCCCTCGTACCGACACCTTCAGATATATATTTCAGATCCATGGTCATACAGCTTTTTCTGCTTCCTTCAAGGGCAGCGGACTGGACTTGATCTCTTGAGGTCCCTTCCATTTCTAGTATTCTGATTCTCTCTTCAAACTCTCTGTCAGGTATGGATATTAAATTTAGATTAATCAACTAATCGAATAGTGGATGCAATCCACTATTTGATTAGTTGATAAGTAGCAAGAGCCCTGCCAGCTCTCACTACATTTCAAAGGCAGAAGCAACGCGGGGAGTATGGAGCCAGCAGAGGACACAAGCAGTCCCGTTGGCCCCGCACTCCTTGCTTTTGCAATGTTCAAGAACTGTCATGTAAGCCCTCTGGGGCTCTTGTACATTTCAAAAGCAGGGAGCACAGGGCTAGTGGAGGACTGCTTGAGTCCCCCGCTCGCCCCCTACTCCCGCTGTGCTTTTGCTTTTGAAATCTACAAGAGCCCTGCTCTTGCTACATTTCAAAGGTGGAAGCGCCACCAGTTCCCCACTGAGACCCTGCCTCCTCCCACAGACACTGTGCTGGGAGGACCCGGCTTTTAAACCAGCTCCTGCTGCCCCCTTACTGTCTCTCTCAGATAGAGGCATCAAGGGGGAGTGGGAAAGCAAATAGTCAAGCATATGCTTATTGGATAGTTATGGCTGACTAATCGCTAACATCCCTACTTTCGGGTGGTAATTTCTTGAAGTCAAACCTATGACATTGAGTCAGAAAAAGCTATTTTCATCAATTCGAATGTAGCGAACCACTGTTTACTGAAAATACGTCTCACGTACTCTGAGTCCAAATTTCCACAAAAAGGGATAAATGACACAAGCTGTTATCAAGGGATAAAACAAGAAGACTGACTAGCTGGTGAGGGTACTATCATGGAGATATGGTCTGGAAGTGCTAGTTTCATAAATGCACATCATCCAAGGCAATTACTTTGTGGATAACAGATTCAGCCATTATTGCCACTAACACTATAAGGGGAAGGATTGGCAATAAAATATTTAAAAAGAAATTCAAGAAACTGACCACTTGTGACAGAGAGCTAGGGGGCAATCACCCTGGCTAGAATTATCAAATTGTTATCAGATAAACAATGAGTCAACTACTGAGGAATTCTACTTTTGGTGAAATGGTATAGAAAGCTTTGGGGGGGGGGAAGGAAGAGGGGACATGAGCCGTCCATGGCTCTGGTGTTTGATGGTAATGTGGGGAGTGTCTTTCTCAGTCAGGGACCACATCAGTGAGAGTTTGGGTTTTTGGGTTTTTTGCTTCTGACTTGTGTGCGGCCCCACCCCCCCCGCCCAGCTCT